GTGCGGGGTGGGGTGGGGTGGGGGTGGGGGGGGGGTGGGGAGTAGGGGTGGGTGGTGCAGAAAAACGAAAAAACAAAAATTTAAAAATTACAAAATTTTTTTTTTGTGCAGGGGGAGGGGAGTGGGGGAAGCAGGGTGGGTGATGACGAAAAACAAAACTGAAATTTGAAAGAAAAAAAGCCTTTATGTAGAGAGGGGGTGGCATAGGTAGGCGTGAGGTGGGGTTTGGGTGGGTTGGTATGGGGGTGGGTTGGTGAGGGTGGGGAATAAGGTGGGGAAGGTTGAGAAGGAGTTTAGGAAAATGTTTTCCGATCTCTTGATAAGGAAAATATTTTCCTCCAATTGAAGGAAAATGAGTTCATAAGGAAAATGTTTTCCAAAACATTTAAGCCAGCCAAACATGAAAAAATTGGAAAATATTTTTCGGAAAATATTTTCCATCATACCAGACACACCCTTAATCTCTATCTTTCATGTCTTCTTCCTCTCTTCTCGTCTTCTCCATTTGTCAACCCATCGACAATCTAACGATAGGCTAGAACATGGGTTTTTGGCTGCATTTCACCTATTTATACTTTATTCGTGATTGAGTTTAAATGCGAATGTCATACTTATTACGTGTTTTGTATGTGCAAGACTTGAATCCGAACCAAAAAAAGTTGTTGGAGCTAAAATGGAGAATACGAAGCTTCAAAGTCTGAGTAGGAGCTCAATTACTTTACTCGGGACCATGTCGAGGTTCGAGGATCGACCTTGCATATGAAAATAGAAGAAAAATGAGTGCCAGAGTAAATTGAACTAAGGCGACGCTTTAGTGCAAACTTTTATTAGAGAGTTGGAAGGTGCCAAAAATGGCCTAGCGCTACGCGCAGTACGTCTCGCCTTGCGATACTTTTGGTTAATATTTTATCTGACGATCAGAGATGAGGTAGTTGGAGACTTAGAGTAAAAAGCAATAGTGTATTGCGCCCTGCATCGCCTTGTGAAACGTGGTAGTACATTTCTGCTATCAAATTTTGCACTTCATCTCAATTAGTGTAGTTTGTTCCAAAGATGTTTGTACACAATATAAATATAACTAAATCACATTTTCTTAAGGACTTTTGATCTATGGAGGATTAATAGAGCGTTGGAGCCCACAAGAATTCATCATCCTTCCACCAATTCAATAGAGGCGTATCTAAAAAGATGAAAGCGAGTTCACGTGCACTCATGCTCTCCTCCCTGAACCACACATAATAATGTTATATTACTACAAAATAATATAAATATATATGTGTGCCCAAGCTCAAAAAGTCACATAATGTAATGGTGCACCGAGTGAGGTCAAGGATTTAATTTTCTTGTCCATATTTGGGGAAAATAGTAACATTTGATTCCATACCCAAAAAAAGGTAAAACTTTAATTCTTATAGAGAAATCATTCAATCGTGTTTATTTCGTCGTTCGTCACCATTTATTTCGTCGTTCGTCACCATCACCGTCAGCTGATCGCCGTTGACAAAGTTATCCTCCATTTTGCTTCTCGAAGTTTTCTGCTCAGTGAAAACATTCGCAAATTTTCCCAATTGTTCTTGCAATTTTCGCATGCCTTCTCTTTCTTTTTCTCTGTTGCCATGCATTCTTGGGCCTTCTTTGATTCATATGTCAAACAAAAACTTAAGGCAGAAAAAGAGAGAACCCAGATACACATTTTTCAGTTTTTACACATTCTTGGCCTGAGCCATCTTTCTGCGGCAGTCTCCTTCCGATCTCTTTCTCCGGCGACATCGAACTCCCTACGACCGGCAATAATGGTCGGTAAAACTTGGTGGCTGAAGCGATTTACATCTCGCTCGAATTTTGGATCTGCAATTCAGGTTCTATTGTTCCTCTCTTGTCTTGATATTTTAATAGTTTGATATTTTAACGTTATTGTATCTCCTTGCCTGCCTCTTTGTTCTTGAATCTTTAATTAGTATTTGCCCTAGCATTGTCAAATTAATTGCATTAGTGATAGCCTTGCCTACTTGTTTATATTGTTATCTACATGTTTACATCTTTGTTTTGAATCTTTATTTAATATATCCCCTAGTAGTTCTGCTCTTGTTTTGCACATTTTCTTTTTGACCTTTAGTTGTAGATTATAGTCCCTTTTAGCTCTTTTATTGTATTTCTTCACCCATTTTTCCGACCTTTAGTTGTAGATTATAATTCTCTTTAGTGCCTTTATTTTATTTCTTCACCTGTTTTTCTGACCTTTAGTTATATATTATAGTTCCCGTAGTTCCTTTATTTTATTTCTTCGCCTTTTTTGCGACCTTTAGTGGTAGATTATATTTTGTCATTTTATTTTTGTTGCTTGTTTTCGGGATAGTGCTTGCACAATGACTCCTAGTTTATAGTGGCTTTGGTGAACGATAGTAGGGTAAGGTCTAGTCCTGGAGGTGTCATCGCGGGTGCGAAGGGTAAGAGGGCTAAGGGAGCTACTAGGCTGAGAGTGGGGTCTTGGAACATAGGAACTTTGATTGGAAAATCTATAGAGTTAGCGAAGATTCTCGAGAAAAGGAAGATTAATATAACTTGTGTACAAGAGACTAGGTGGGTAGGAGATAAGGCGCAAAATGTGGACAGGTTCAAACTATGGTATTCTGGGAGGGTGGAGGGCAGGAACGAGGTTGGTATCTTAGTTGATAAGGACCTCCGTGAACTAGTGGTGGAGGTTAGGAGGGTGAATGACATGCTGATGACTATTAAGCTAGTTGTTGGAGGTTTTACTTTGAACATAATCAATGTGTATGAACCCCAAGCAGGCTTGGATGAGGAAGTCAAGAGGCGTTTCTAGGAGGATTTGGATGAGATGGTGTGTGTCATCCCGCATACCGAGAAGCTTTTCATAGGAGGAGATTTCAACGGCCACACTGGAGCGACGTCTGGGGGTTATGATGATGTGCATGGTTGCTTTGGTTTTGGAGATAGAAAGGAGGAGGGACGTCTCTATTGGACTTTGCTAGAGCATTTGATTTGGTGATAGCAAACTCGAATTTCCCAAAGAAGAGGGAACACTTGGTCACCTTCCGGAGTTCGGTGGCCGAGACTTAGATTGATTATTTACTCTGCAGAAAATCGGATAGAGGTCTTTGCACGGATTGCAAGGTCATCCCAAGTGAGAACCTCTCGACCCTTCATAGGCTCTTGGTTATGGACCTTGAGATCACGAGAAAGAGGGCGTGGGCAATGTATAGACAGCATAGGATCAAGTGGGGAGCCGTGATGGAAGTTAAAGTGCAGGAGTTGGGGGTCAAGCTGCTGACTATGGGGTCTTGGAGGAGTAGTGGGGACGCAAGCACTCTGTGGACCATGACTGCGCAGTGCATTAGGGAAGCTGCGAGAGAGGTATAAAGGTATCAAAGGGTTACTCTGGTGGTCACAAGAGAGACTGGTGCTGGAATGGAGAATCGTGAGCAACGACGATCAAAGAAGATAAGGAAATGCCCGACTGAAGTCAAAGTGCAAGGAAAAGTGGAGACCAAGAAAACGGTGTATATGAAGCTAGTGAAAAGTGTAGACGAGGAGGAGAAGAGGGCGAATGGGGAGCAATATAAGTTGGCTAAGACAGAGGCAAAGCTAGCAGTTACGGCAGCCAAGACTGCAACTTTTAGTCATTTATATGAGGAACTCAAGGGCCGATGTGGGGATAAGAGGTTTTTCAGGTTAGCCAAGGTGCGAGAAAGAAAGGCTCGTTACTTGGAACAGGTGAAGTGCATCAAGGACGAAGAAGGTAGAGTTTTGTTGGATGAGGGGCTTATTCGTCGGATATGACATACCTACTTCCATAGTGTCTTGAACGAGGAGGGGGACATGAGCATTGTACAGGGTGATTTGGAACTCCCTGGGAGTCGTTGTGACTTTGAGTATTGTAGGTGAATTAGAGTTGATGAAGTGGAGGGGCTATGCGTAAGATGAGCAGCGGCAAAGCGACCGGGCCGGATGAAATTTTGGAGGAGTTTTGGAAGAGTGCGGGCAATGCAGGCTTAGAGTGGCTCACTAGGTTATTTAATGTCATTTTTAGAACGAAGAAGATGCCCGAAGAATGGAGGTGGAGCATGATGGTTCCCATTTACAAGAACAATGGTGATATCCAAAAAAATAGCTATCAAGGTATCAAGCTACTTAGCCGTACTATGAAAGCCTGGGAGAGAGTAGTAGAGCTAAGGGTCGGGAAGAGTGTGTCTATTTCCAAGAACCAGTTCGGGTTCATGCCGGGGCATTCGACTACATAAGTCATCCACTTTGTTAGGATATTGATGGAGCATTATACGGAGAGGAAGAAGGACTTATATATGGTGTTCATCGACTTAGAGAAGGGGTACGATAAAGTTCCGATGGAAGTTTTGTGGAGATGTTTGGAGGCTAGATATGTACATGTTGCAAATGTTAGGGTGATTAAGGACATGTATGATGGAGCGAAGATCCGAGTGAGGACAATGGGTGGGGACTCGGACCATTTTCTGGATATGATGGGGTTGCATCAGGGGTCAGTACTCAGCCCTTTTTTGTTTGCCCTGGCGATAGATGTACTGACGCGCCACATCCAATGGGAGGTGCCGTGGTGCATGCTATTTGCAGATGATATTGTATTTATTGACGAGACGCGAGGCGGTGTGAACGCACAGTTAGAGGCATGGAGGCAGACCCTGGAGTGTAAAGGTTTCAAGTTGAGCAGGACCAAGACAAAATACTTGGAGTATAAGTTCAGTGGTGAGACTCAAGGGGGGAAAGGGGAGGTGAGTCTAGGCTCGCAGGTCATCCCTATGAGAGGAAATTTTAAGCACCTTGGGTCTATTATCCAGGGGGTGGGGAGATTGATGAAGATTGTTGATACCCAATTTTTCCCTGTATTTTTTAAATATGCAAAATACCTTCAAAATAGCCTATATATGCATATATAAGTGTATCCCAAGGTTACATTATTTTTTTTTCTTCGTTAATTTGTCAAAGATTTTTTAACCAATTTACTGCCCTATTTTATCAAGAAAAACCCAATAATTGTCACCAAAATTATCATTTTTGGTGACTCATTTATTGGATTCTCATATTTATACTAAAATATAGCTAAGCTATTTTTTTTACATATTTTTACAAATTTATTGAGTAGTTTTCAGGATAAAATTGCATAATTGCAATATTAACCATTTTTAGGTTTAAATTAGTCTCATATTTATAAAATGGGATTGTATATTTTTATATTGATAATTATATATTATAAATCATTTTAGTGCTTTCAATTAGTTTTCAGGAATTTATTTACTATTTTTTATAAATTAAATGGGGAAAAAAGGGCTATTTAATTTATAGCCANATTAAATGGGGAAAAAAGGGCTATTTAATTTATAGCCAGATTTGGCCTTCTAATTTAGCCAAATTAAACCCAATACCCAACCAAAATTAAACAAGCCCAAATACCCAAGCCCAATCCTAAATCTACCCGACCCAACCCGGATTAAATTTTGGTCGTTGATCAAATTTGATCAACGGTCTAGATCCGCCCTTACCAAATTAAACCAAACGACCCCCCAAGACCCCTCTCATTTCCTCACTCGTCTCTATCTCTCTATCTCTGGTTCTCTCTAGAACCTTCCCCCTTCCCCTCCGCTCCGATGAGTTTCACTCACCTTCTCCGGCCACCTCCTGGTCTGAATCTATGGTGGTCTCACCACCTACCAGCCTTCCACGGTGCATACACGCTTGGTTGCTGAGGTTTCATGGTCTGACCACGAAGAAGCTTCATCCAGACCTTGTTGATTCAAGTTTTATGGCCATCTCCGGCCTTGCTCCGGCAAGCCATATCTGTTTCGAGCCTGACCTCGACTCCTCCTGCTTAAATCTATCCAAGCCTTTCTCACCTTTCTTTCAAAAGGTCTTGTGGCCGGTTACAAGACCTTTTGCTTGCTTTCTCTCTATTTTGTTTCTTTGAAACTGGTATGTCCTGATTTAATTTTCAGCACCACAACAATGTGTTTATTTATTATCTTTATATCCATGTCTACTTACTGCTTCTGTATAGTTCAACACTTACTCTAGCATACTGATTTCTTTTTGCCTGTTCTACTATGAATCCAAAACCCCTACCCCCTATGTGTTTAAGCTATGGTTTGATACATGGCAATACTGCAAGTTATTGTCCATGAATCAGACTTGATCCCCTGGAATCCTAGCCTCTAATAGCATGTGTTCTGGCAGGCTTATAGGTATGCTAGCACTCTCCATTGCTGGGCATGCCTAGAGTCTGCCCTTGCCTAAGCAATAGGCTCTTTACAATCTCCCCTTTCCCCTGAACCCCTTGTGTGTACTTATTTGTAGCTGTTTCCTTCTCCATTTCCCCTTTAGCATTCTGTTCTGCACTTGCACACACCTTCTTAGCCTTTAAGTTCTTCCCCCCTCTTGTGATCCTTGCCTTGGGACCCTTTGAGTTCCCTCTGAACTTGGACACTTGAGGGCTGGCCCTTCCACACTGCATTGATCCCCAATCTGATAATGCATGTGAGTGTGAGCATTGCCCGGAGTCCCTTTGATACTCTTAGGGAACTTTGACACACTCAAATGGGAGAAAGGCTTTGGATCATGATCTCTTGGAGTTGATTTACCTCATATTTCAGACATGAAGTCTGAATCGGGCTCTCCTTGGTTGTACTTTTATTTTTTTAATGTGTTTTACCTTATTCCGGGCTGTAATAATTTCTAATAAACTCTTGGGGATGGTTAGTAAAAAGGGACGGGTAACTATGTTTGCAAAAAGGGTAGATTCCATGCCTATAGGAATTTTGAATTCTGCATATGCACCTAGAAATCATGCCTATAGGTCCTTCTGAATTTTGTATGCCCATCATTCACATTGAAATCATGCTTACATGATTATCTAAATCTGTACGTTCAATCGCACTTAGATATCATGTTCATAGGTCTTAAACAATTTTTGCACTTAGATATCATGTTCATAGGTCTTAAACAAAATTCAGCACCTAGATATCATGTTCATAAGTTTAAAACGAGTCTTCTACATTTTATACCATGTTCAAAATCAACTACGCGTAGAAAGCATGCATATAGGAACTCCTAATCGAATCTGAATCGCTTCATTCACATATGGAACTAAAATCAGTAACAACGGGTACTGTTAGCTGTAGAACTTATATTCTTCGTTAAAAACTGGCCTTTCTTTTAACAATCTGACTCCATTTTTAATCAGTATATGTCCAGTTTGCTTTAAACCCTGTTATTTCGTTGCTTTCTGAATTCAATAGATACCATGCCTATTGGATCCTTGTCCAACACTTAGGCAAGCCTTAGGGTAAAGTCATAAATTAAATCAGTTCTATTAATAAATACAACCAGCTGGCAGGCCTGATTCGGGCTTCTTATTTGAATTGTGTAATAAATCAGTCTGTCTCAACCTTTAAGCTCTTGTATGTTTAGTACTTAATTAGACCCTAAACAATATGTGTAAGTCATGCTAATTACGTGTTTCTTTGTTTAAAGGGGGCATATTTGAGCCTTTGCTTGTTATGTGCTTTCCCCTAACTTGTTATATGTGTTTTGTATGTCGCATTAGAATTTTGCCCCTTTGAAACCACAAATAAGCCTAACATCCCTTCCCTTTATGATTAGTAGTCCTCATGCCTCCAGGACTGATAGGATTGGGACGGGTAGTAGCATGCAATAGGTAAACGAGACCATTCCGCGCTTTAATACCTTAACGGGGTGGGAAGGGTAGATATGGATATGATGACCACGCGATAATGTCACGTGTAGCCCCTCATTGAGGAGTGATTACCGGGCATTGTG